ATTTAGAGTTTTTAATGTTTAGGATTTTTAGATTTTTTATTGCTTAGGGTTTAGGGTTAGGTTTAGTTTTTTAGGGTTTAGGGTTTAATCTAATACACAGCTAGTACGCATTAAATACTCAATTGATACGCAGCCAATACGGATTGAATACACAATAAATACACATCAAATATACAATAAATACTCCTCAAATGTATTGAATACACATTAAATATGCATTGAAGATGAAGTAAATATATATTAAATAAATAGAAAATGTGCATAGATTACATAGTAAATATGCACTGAATACGTAGTAATTACGTAGTGTTTAGTGTTTTTAGGTTTTAGGGTTTAGTGTTTAAAGTTTAAGATTTAAGGATTAGAGGTTTTTTTTTTAGTTAAAACCCATAGGGGGCATACACATTAATCAAAAGGTTTATAAGATTCTTAAGGGTCCTTTAGCTCATTACTGCTAGAAAGAGCTATAAAATAAATCCTAAAATAAAAACCTATGAGCTAATGGTCCCTTCTAATCATAATTACAAGATAACCTAGGTACATTCTAGGGTGTCCAGGAGCCATCACCCCAAAAAAAAGGAAAAACAAATGGTAAACCTTCAACACTCCCTCCCTGCAGAAGAATTTAAAAATAAAAAAATATATCAAAAATAAACTATAAGATAAAATGGTAACCCAAAAAAACTGCATAAAAGAATAACAATAACATGAATAATATGATAGTGCAAGTAAGTGAAGAAGTAGCAGCTGCATAGTTTAAACACAAAACTAAGGAACAAATGAAACCAACAGCTTGGAAAAGCCATAAGAATTTTAATAAGATGAACCTATGACATACACCCATAACCGAAGGAGACAATGTTATAGTGGGCTAAGTACCCATATTAGCAAAGAGTAAAACTAAAAGAAACACATGCTTTCTCCCCAAATGTCACAAATCATTTTTACCTTTGCTGATACATATACCTAGGCTCATTAAAACCTGCCTATCCATCCAATAATCTCAGCCATCCATAGAACACTGAAACAAATGATCACCCCTTTAACCACCTCAAATACAAATTATTACACATGCCAACACCCAACTAAGCATGAAAACAGATGCGATATACGTACCCAAATTATGAAATAAAAAATTTAAAAAATAATAAACCTGCATAACAATAGTGAACCAAACAATAACCAGCAAATAATTATAGGTAGGACATTACGAATATGACCATGGGTAGGAACAAACCAGGCTTCCAAGATATTTGTGATGAAACTATCATCAGTACTAAAGTGAGCATTAAACAGATTATCAAAATATAACCAAAGTTTAAGAAAAGTAAGACCTTGAAAAAAAAAAAAGACGATTCAGGGTTTCAATGTGATAACAAAATTGGCATTTAAAAACAATGTAGAAGCCTTTTTTCATTAAAATACAATCAATAGGTATATAATTAAGCAAAATTCTCCACATTAAAATAGAATAAGAGGACAGAATAACATTGTGACAAATAGCCTGTTGGGTAAATACACATTAACTTTGCAGTAAATACACATTGAATATGTAACAAATATGTATTAAATATACATAAAATGCGCAGCTAATACTTAGTACATATGCATTAATATATAGTAAATATGTAATAAATATGCAACAAATATGCATAAAATATGTAAAAAATATGTTGTGAATACACACTAAATGATGAGTTTAAATAGAGTCAATTTTCTTTAAATCAAATTAAATCAAAAGCAGTTTTCCAGTACAAAAGTTTCTTTAATTAAAACTTTAATGGTAAGATCTGAATTTAACAACAAAATATTTTCATTGCATAGCTATAATTAAAGCTCTAAGGAGTAATTTGAGATTTCAATCATTCAAACTAATTCATTTTTTATAAAATAAATGTAATAAATGATTTAGTTAATATTCAATCATTATAAATAAATTTAATTACAATGAATATTTTACATTAATAATAAATCATCACAAATAAATTTATTACATTTATTTATCTGAAGTAATGATATCCATCATCACCCTCATATACTTAGTTGATGGCTGACTAGAGGGTGCGCCTGTTATAAATTCCTCAGTGAAGCATTTGGACATATTTGAGAAATTATACTATTTCGATGGTGAAGACATTTGTGTTGTATTTTCCTTCACGGGAGGTTTCCCTGCTTAAAAAAAGTTAATCTAAAGAAAAGTTAAAATATGTCATAATATATAATGAAAAAAAAAATCAATAAGTTAAATCATACTATTTGGTTTCTTCTTTTTCTAGTGGCCTTTTAGCCTTGCATTTATATGCCTTTAGGCCTACACTTTAGTGAATCTTTCACTTTTGTAATGCCACCTTGTATAAATTTGTAGTAATTTCTCTTCCCATAAAGAATCAAATCGATATTTCAAGCATATCCTTCATCGCAGCCAACATGTATTGTTCATACTTCTCATTCCTCTACTCTCATGTGCTAATTTGATATGTAAACCTTTTGATATGATTTCTAAATATGAATATACTACTGGCTTATAATTATTCTAAGAAGATCCTATCAACATACGACTTGAACACACACACACAGTGGAATTGGAGGGAGTTCAAAAACTGCATAATAGAACGTTTCCAAACCGATCGTGGAGGAGATTTCTATGAGCAATTCTTTGCTCTGGTGCAGGAGGGATCCGTAGCAGACTACCGTGAACAGTTCGAGCACCTGGCTAGTAGGGTGGAGACCCAATCCGTTATAATTGCAAGCAAAATTATTACTTAACCAAATCTGACCTAACTCGGTTGATCTGTGCACTATGCTTCTTTGATTTAACTTCCTGGTCTAAAGTAATCTGACCTTGGCCTTTGTATCGCTCATCTACCGGCACTCATGGGAGCATCTTACCAGATTTAATAAAGAATATGACTGTTGAAGGTTGTTTCAACTTTATTTAGTGAATTGAATTGTTGCTTACTTTCTATCTTGATACTTTTGGATGGTCTTTTGTGCACCCATAGAGAATGGGTCCTAGCTATCTCTTGTTCAAGGATCCTAGCTCAAAGACTCAAATAGGATTTCATTTTCTGATAGATGTCTACTTTCGTGCTTTTGTGAGTTGTTTGAGGTCCTATCATTGATCTCTTAACTATTTTAGTGAGGAGATGGTGGTTTTCTTGGTTTTCTTATAATGTTGTTGGACATATTTGTATTTGAGCTAGCCCATTCCTGCGATGGATAGCATACATGCTGGAGAACAAGTGCATATGTGCTGCATATGATATACTGGTCTGCTTTGACTGTTTCCCTGCCTGCTTTTGTTGAAAACTCATTGGCATTATCATACATTATTAAATTCTAAGAGAGTTTTTATCCATCCTTGCATTCCTTCTTTCAGGAATACAATCAGCACAAATAAAATTAATTATGGTTTCATTTGGGACAGCTTTTGATCACTGTTTTTTATTACTTTCAATTTTTTTTTTCTAAAAAGTTGTTTTAAAAAATAATAAAAAAGCTGTATCAAACAAAGCCAATATCTAGACTGCAGCTCCCTCCTTCACATGCACAGAAATCTATATGGACCATATTAGAGATCTGCATTTACTTAAGACATTATACGTTTGTTTGAGTAGCATTCTAACAATTTTTCTAGGTTCAGTCACGATTCATTGAAATAGCTTACTTTATCGAATTGATGCAGGTAATTATGCGCGTGCTATCGTCTCCTCCATTTCAAAATTATCGTGTGTGGTGGTCTCTTTCAGATTCCAAGTACGCAGGAACAGCTTTTTAACAGACAAAATCTTTGTATTTATTTTTTTTTGGAATTTGGCTAGTAATTATGATAATTCATGTGAACATTAAAATCAACATTATGGGTATAATTACAGTAAGCCTCATATGCCTCTTTCTCATTCTCATACTCTTCCTGTAAAATAAGCAGTAAATAGTTAGAAAATAAACAATAAATATGCCCTAAATATATAGTAAATATGTATTAAATATGCATTGAATACACAATAAATATGCAAAACAAAAACATAGTAAATACGCAACAAAAATGCATCAAATACGCAATAAAAATGCAGTAAATACATAGTAAATTCATAAAAAGACATTAAATACTCAATAGAAATAAAGTAAATAAGCAATAAATACGTAATGAATAAACAGTAAATACATAGTAAATAAGCAGTAAAAATGCATTACATAAGCAATAAATACGCAGAGATACTCAATAAAAATGCAGCAAAACGTAGTAAATTAAAAAATATGCAATAAATATGTAGAAAAAACATAATAAATACTCAATAAAAATGCATTAAATAAGCAATAAATACGTACGAAATAAGCAGTAAAAACGTAATAAATAAACAGTAAATACATAGTAAAAACGCAGTGAATACCCAACAAAAATGCATCAAAAACGTAATAAATATGAAGCAAATATGCAACACATACGTAAACAATGTGGAGTAATATGCATTAATTTTAAAATTGTACATAATGGACACATGCTTACATACAATAAATAAAACTTGGAAGTAGATTGAACTTTATTGATAAGTTGAAACCTACATCTTCTAAATCTATCTTTTCTTTTAACTGTAGTTTTTTTAACTTCAACTGTTCTGCTTCATGGACGTCTACATACTGATTTATGGCCTCCGCGTCTTGTGGGAATATCATCTGCTCGTAAAATGAAACCTCCTCTAAATCTGTCTCCATTTTCATCGGCATTTTCTCTATTCTTTCTTTCTCAGCATGAACGAATTCTTTCTTTCTCAGCATGAACTAAAGTTTCTTAAGATAAAAACTTTATATATTACGGAGCTTTTGTGGCTAAAATTCTGAAAAAGAAGCATTAACTCTTAATTAAACTAGATAGTAAAGATATTTTTCCTAATTTTTAAAAAATTCGTGGGCCCGTCTGACAATACGGAAAAAGTTAAAAATAATAAAACGATATTTTCGTCAAAATTTTATTAGTGTTAGGATGGGAAGCTATGTAATTGCATACATAGCTCCCGTAGAACAATTTCTCCCTGTTGAGAGTGGAAAAGGCGCTCACCATCCGCCATCATGAAGCGTTTTTTTCAGCCAGTGAAGGAGGATGGCTCCTTCAAGAAGCCCTCTCTCTCGTCCGCCGATCCCCTTCTTTCCACCGTCGGCGACTTAGTTTCCGTCGAGGGCATTCACACCGTTGAAGCCGGCGAAAGAGAGAGGAGAGAGCCGTGCAAGTTTCTCACTTGGAACGCCAACAGCCTCCTCCTCCGCATGAAGAAGGACTTGCCCGAATTCTCCAACCTGGTCCAAACTCTCGACCCGGATGTTATCGCCATTCAGGTTTCTCTCCCACTCTTTTCCTTTCCATCTTCTCCGACTACTGTTATAATGTTAATGTAGGTTAACTACTGCTTCAGGTGTTTTGATTACCTTTTACCTGTTTATTTCTGATATTTCGAAGTTACTTCTCTTAGCATTGTTCTGCTAGTTACACTTCTCAGCATTTTCGGATATTTCGAAGTTACTTTTCTCAGCATTGTTTATTTTCGGATATTTGCTAGGTCTACGTTTAGTCGAACTGAAATTGAATTGGTCAGTTAGCTAAGCAGCCATAGGAACTACGCTACCTTGAAAAGTTTTTGAGGGTTTTTTTGGTAATCAAGTAATGGACTGGTGAAGAGTCGAATGATTTTGTTTCTTGCAAATGGAAAGCATGTTTTAGAAAACAATAATTTCATTTTCACTCATTTTGTGCTATAAAATAAGCACTTTCATTTGAGGGAAGTTTGAGAGGTTTGTGACATTTGAAATCGGTTTTGGTCTCTAATTAAATCCAACCAAAGAATGGATTTAATAAATGTCTTAGTTTTTCAACATGTATTATCTAGCTTCAAGCAACCAAATGAGCACTAAAAGAAATCCATAGTCATTTGAAGCATAAGTTTGAAATACAACTAGCAATCTCATCCTAATAGTTATAGTCCTCTGTATGGGTGATCGAGTTTGAATCAGAAGTTTGAAATACAACTAGCAATCTTGCCCTCGCCCTAAAAACGTCTTTCAGTTGGATGGCAGGAAGATGCGCAAAGATTTTTTGAAGGAAAATGATGAACTTACTTTTCAGTAAGCATTACGCGGATTAGTTTCTTTATCAATTATTTGTCATTGTTCTTTTTTTGACATTGTTTGATTAAGTCTAGCATGAATTTGAATGCACACCACATGATTACGCCAGCGTTAGACATTTCCCTTCTCTTTGCCGAAGAGTAATGTTATACTTCCCAAATAGATAAATATATGAGCATATGAGGCTATTAATGTTGCACCTTTTATAAACTCGGTAAATTTTGTGTATCTTTTGAATATTTGCCTTGTGTCTAGAAATAAATATTTTCTCTTAGATTTAAGATAATTCAGCTAGAAAGAAGGTATGCCATTGAAAGGAAGAGGCTTCACTTCAAAGTAATGTATTTCACCCACAAATCAACAATAAATAGGGAAGCTTATTTTTTGGGTGAAGCCTCTTATTTTTGGTTTATAAATAACTCACATATGTTTATGAGGATGAGATGGAGTTAAATAAGAGACACAGTGGGTTAGGAATTAATTTGATTGATTAAAAAAGGTGCATCATCATCTGCCACATAAGAATTTTTTTGGCACCAATTTAAATGTATAATTGGGAAGTATGGCATTATTCCTTCAATTTAGTTTAATTTTATAAAATTGGAGTGAAACATTTTTGCTCAATTAGCTCACTTGAATAGTATTTGGCTTATGGGCATCAATCATTTAGATGGAGAGCCACAATTATTCCAAAGCAGAGAGAAAAAAAGTTATAACTAAAACTAACTAGGCAATGCTCAATGATCTAGCAAGAAGTTTTGATGCATTATAACACATGCATCATGGTTATTATAGTATTTCTTGATTATTTCTAGGATATTTATTTCAGTTTTAATGTATTTAATCTATAGGATCATCTTCTATTAAGCTAGATGATATTATTTTTAAGAATTATTTAGATTTGAATTTTAAATAGTTTGATTTTATCTTGTAAACCTATTTCTATAAATATTATTTAAGTTATTTGGCATCAAAATACTTCCTCGATATCAATTCGTATCAAAGCAAATCTTTTTCTACATCATGTGTTTTCATAGCCAAATTTCTTGAACATAATTGTACCTCACCTTAACTACTCAAATGTTCTCCTTCCCTTTACCCATCCCATATCCTCTATCACCAAATTTCTGTTAAAGAAAAAAAAATTCAAAACCCTATTTTAAAACTTAAGGTTATCAAAAAAGTTCATTGTTCATAAATAGATCTTGATGAGCTCATTATAGAGCTTATGTTTGATTAGTTCATCAAGAAAGTGAGTCGAACACTATCAGATATTGGTGTTTGATTTGTAAACAAGCTATATATGAATAAACCTTTGTTTGATCGTGTTTGACTTATTTTATGCTCAAAATTAATAAGTAAATAAATAAATAATATACACATGTATACACATTATATACATACATATATATATATATACAATAGCAACAACAACATCAATCCTTTATCCCACTATGTGGGTTTGGCTACATGAATTATTTTTCTCTATTGTGTCTTGTTAAGAGTCAAATTCTCATTTAAATCTAATAAAGAAAAGTCATTTCTAATATTTTTTTAACCAAGTATTTTTAGGTCTACCTCTACCTTTCTTAACATAAGCCAAATCTAATACATCTACTTTCTTGACCGTGTCATCAGAAGGCAGTCATTTTATGTATAATACTATTTATTTATTTTGTTTGTATTATTTGTATTTAAATATATAACAATTTTATTTTTTGTGAAGGTTGGCTACCATGATAAAAATAGACAAGTTCAATTCATTTAGTCTCACATTATTTGGAAGTTTAGAGTTGCACTATATATAATATAATGATGTATTACAAAGCTTTATTTCTTCGCACAGTTCCTTGAGAGGTTGAGCTTGTAATTATGGGGCATGTGGGATCTTGCGAGTCATGGGCCTTATGTGGTATTTGATCATCTTAAAAAGATTTGATAGGATGATATCTAGTTGTGAGTTTTGAATGCTTATTTTTTAAAAGAAAAATTTTAAGATTCAAAATTCTAATCAATTCGAGTAGAGCATGAGCCAAATGAGCTCAATTACATAAATCAAACTGAAAATGAATAAAGTATTCATGAATAATTTCGAACAAACATAAATTCAAATGAGCCGAGCTCACTCAAGAACCCAACTTAGTCAAGCTCTGCCAATTTACTCCGCTTTTGATGCCATATGGATTGCTTCTTGTATTACTATGAAATATTTGAAATAACAAAACTTGTATAACGAAAGATGTAAATATTAGGCCTTGAATGTACATGGATGTTGATCTTGATTTTGTTACAGTGACAAGCTTGACCTCTGCACACACACTTTAGCTAGCTTTAGTTCTTTCCTTAGTTTAATCATTGTGGTACCACACATGCCTGATAATCTTAACTTGGACTTCATTGATTAAGGCCACATCTTGGTCACGCATATTCCATTTGCTAGACCTAATATATTCGCTAGAGTGTTAGACTGAAGTGAATTACTTTCTCATCGACTTATTCAATTCTAGTACACACCATAGATTCCATGAATGCAAATCTCCATGCATCAACCTGGTAGATCCAAACACACAAGGTTTGCATACATGAGTTATCATGTTTTGGCCCCATATATTTCAGCACACACAAATTGAATATATTGGCTAATCTCTCTTGTTTGGATTATTTATCATGTGTCATACACACTTGGTAGATTTGAGTTTGCAACTCATTAACTTAAGTGTAGTTGCATGCCACACTTAAAGAGTCGTCACACCCCTAGTTGCATTTCAAGCGATAACGATGTGACTCTCACATTGCTTTGATTCAATCTTGACATGAAATGTCATGTTCTAAGACATTGCAGACTTAGCACAATATTCATCACTTTCCTTGTTAACCAAGCTATGCTCGAGAACATCCTTCGTTCGCCTTTTCTCTTATATGGTAGTGAATTGTAAATCCCTTCAGTTAGCTCTTCTCTTTGAGATTTTAGGTACTCTTAGATGACATCAACTCATAGTTTTTAACAAGGATCATCTAGTCTCCACATGACTAAACAAATCAGAGCCCAAAGACTTGGAATGATAAAATTATGGGATCTTGACTGAGTCCACTTATTGCTTAGATTTGTTATCCTTTTCCTTATTCATCTATTTCCTTTGCAACCCTTGGGTTGTAGAGTTTTCATTTTCTAGTAGCTTATGATAGTTGCAATTTTTTGTTGTTCAGGTAAGTCCCATCTCCTTTGGAGCCTTTCTTCTTTAGCTTCTATCTCAGAGTCTTCTTATTTCCAAAACTATATCATCTTACAAAATTTATTTTCTCCTTTCAGGTGTCTTTATATTTAAAATTTAAGATTCTCTAATTATATTTCAATGACTACATGCCCCTTGCCCTAAAGACTCATGCAATCAAAAATTTGGGAGAGAGACCCAAATTTTTGATCACAAAAAAAGAAACTCTTTCTAAGAACAAAATAAAGACAAAAATGCTCAAAAGACACTTTTTATATTATATAAAGAAACTTACAAACATAGACACTTACTTGACGACACTTACAACTTTGAAACTTACAAATGACTCAAACAAGACACCCTATAGTTGCTTCACATAGAGAAGAAGGATACTGATGGAGTGGCACTTGCGGATAGAAGAAAGAGATTAGAAGTCAAGACGAAGGTTGGAAAGAGCCCGCAGGATTTCCGGAGGTGGAAGAGAGAATGGACAAAGCTCGCAAGCTTTTCCAAACAACAAACCCGCATGTTTTATCTCCAAAAATAACTCACATCATTCTCTTTTTAAAACAGCCACAAACAACATTATTTATAGGCACAAAAAGGGTAGCCAAACAGCCCAAATATTTGGGAATATGGAAGGTTAAAAGACACCAAGAAGAAGGTTAAAAGACACCCAAAAACTGCAGTAGAAAACTGCACAGAAAACAGTAAAAAACCTCTTGAAATTCTCCCCAAACAGTCCCAAAAACTGTCCAAATTCTGTCCACAATATAGCCCAAAAAACAGTCCAAAAAACTGTTCATATTCCCATATAAATGAGGTGATAAAAGCCATCAATTTCCTGCACAGGAATTCCAAACAGCAAAGCAAACTTCAAGATAAAAAGCCACGGTTCCAACTCAGGGAAACCCCAAACGGCACAACAAATCCAAGGAGGGAATTTCGGTTCCAACAGCCAAGCACAAGAAACCAACAACCACCATTAATATTGAGAGAAAGGGAACCACAGGAAATAAATCCTGAGCCAGCCGTGGGAATTAATGCAAAAGCAGCCCAAGAGACAAACTGCAGCAGCCCAAATCAATAGGAATATGAAAAAACAAGATCCACTCATCAAATCTAGCTCCCAATCATTAATTTTATAACTAAAAATCAGCTCATAATGAGCTAATCTTTCACTAGACATTAATGAGCTAGGGAAGTCAAAAATCAAATATTAGGATTTGATTTGACCCCCCCCCCCTTGCCTACATCAAAGACATATTAGTAACCTGCACATATCTTGCCCACAGTTGTACTTGATGCACCTTCAACCTAAGATCACTACTAACCAATATAATCGTATTCATCTATTCTCTAACCTTGAGAGTCCTATTGACTTGACTCATTCTCATATGTTTGAGTGCTGTCCTACCTCTCCTTTAACATTAGAATTGACCACTAAATCCCCACATATGATTATAAGCATTTGAACAAAAGTGAAGCTCCTTATTTATGATATTATCAAATATACCCAATATGTAATTAATCTTAGAAGCTTGCTCTTTTGGGAGGCCTTGACCTTTAAAATTAAAATAAATTATGTTTTAAACTACATTCCATTTAGAGGAAATCTTTGGAACACATTGCCTTCAATTGATCATGTGGGTCTATATATTGCATTGATTAGCTATGGTTAATCATCTATTGTAATTCCATAGAAATCTTATGAAACTTATATATTTTTGATGATTCAGCTAGGGAACATTTCTCTCTCCATCTCTAGAGCTTTGCTTCACTTCACTTATGCTCTTTCAATGATACTTTGATTTGGCTAGAGACCAAGGCACCACGATCATACTTGCAGGTCAACTAGGTTATTTACCCCTTGTTCAACTAAACAATTAAGATCTTTGTCCCATAGGTCCGTGGTTCATAATATAAAAGCGGAGATTAGGATCATATACTAGCATGTCCCTTGTGTCATCAATTACAAATATCTCTTCTTGATAACGGTCCTGTCATCCCCCTTCAACTTGGTTGTAGATATTGGTATTGTCTTGAAGATCCAATCACTGATGTGATAAGTTATCCTTATAAGTACTTACTTTTCTGGCATAAACTTGATCAGTTAGATTCCTAGTCATTACACTTCACAGTTGAATTTGCGAAGGACTTGCAGAAAATATTTTTTATTTTTATTTTTATTTTGAAAGAATTCTCTTTGTCTTATTCATATCTCCTACTAACTTTATTATGGCCTAAAGATTTGTGCTTCCTTAGGGCTTCTTATTAGAGAAACTGTCATAGATATACAGATGCACCCTCTATCATATAATTTGATCATCTTAGTTTGATGGGATTGCTTTCAGGGGAAGGATCGACTCAAATGACATGCCACACTATATATTTTGTTGTGTCCTGGATATCTTACTTTTTGAGTAAAAATGCAAGATACCACATCAAGCAACCAAGTTTTATGTTCTCAGATCATCATCAATTATCATGCAAGTGGAGACTGCGGTTAGGCACCCATAAGTCCCTTGTCCACCATAGTACAATTGATTAAGTATTAATACTAGTGAATATCGAGTTTGGATACTTGCAATTCCCCTGTACTTCTAATACCTCCCTAGTTAGGCTCCTTCGTCAATGAACTTGGTTTGGGTTAACAAAATATAATGCCTAGGTACAAAATCTAATACCTGAAAATCAAAATTCATAATATGTTATAAATTTGTCTTTTTTTGTCACTTTATAGGGTTCCCAAATGAAGGAAACCCATTGATTTGATCACTTTAGAAATATGGGATATTGATGGAGATGGAGGGTGACCTACCCATAACGACATAAAGAAAGCATGAATAAATAAGATGCTGGATATTATTAATTAAAAAAATTGTAATATCACAAAGATAATTTTAATGGAAGACTCACTTAAGTCTCCTTAAATGAGATAACTATCAAATTCTACTTTTATATTTCATACAAGCAACACTTAAAACATAAATTAACCAAGTCTGATTTCTATTACAACTCACACTTTATTTATAACTTTTCAAAAATAAAATAGATAAAGATAAATTAATGAAAAAAGTCCTTGTGAGATGGAAGGACATGCCACCTTTTGAATTCATTACATCTTGAATTTCATACTTGATTGACACCTCCCATAAATTGCTTGAAAATAAAAGATGGTAGGATCCTGAACTTTAGGTTACCATACATACTTTACGTTTTTGCAACTAAACCTTCATGGAAGGTGGAGAGAAGGTAGGGCATCCCATGTATGTTAGCATGCTTGTACAAAATGACCAAGCTCATTTGTAAAGAGAGTGTACTTGTTGTCATTAGGCTTACAATTATGCCACTTTCAATTTAAATAAAAATAACATATTATTTTCACTTTTAATGATGATTTTTTTTTTCATAAATAGATCATGTTTGCGATGAATGAATTTTCTCCATATCTTTATCTTGATGATTATGATAATCAATAATGAAGATGGTATGCTGCATCAATCCAAAATAGGAAACTTCTCATGAGTCATTTGCCAAAATTTTCATAAATTACCACTCTTGTTCCGACATGGAATTCAAAGTTTATATCAAATCCTTTTAGGCTACCCAGTTACTTCTTTGGTGAGGTTTGGGTTACAAAATCTCAAATTAAATATCTTTTCCAATTTTGCTCATGAGCTTGGTTTGGGTCTGCAAAACTCAACAAGATATCACTTATGCTTTCAACCCAAGTTTCATCTCTGATTGGTTTTGAGTCATTAATACCCAAACCTAAAATTTAATACATATGTCTAGTTTAGCCCTATCACGAGTTGGGAATGTGTCAACAAAACATAAATGCAAGTTTACATATGTCCTACCCGATTTTGTCCTCTGACTATTTATAAGACATGCATCATGATTATTTTAGTATTTTAAGATTATCTTAAGGGTTTTATTTTAACTTTAAGTATTATATTTACACTAAGAGGCTATTTGGTTAGCTAAAAAAGAATGTAGCGTATTTGAAATACTTTGGAATTGTTTTGATGAGTGTAAAATAAATGCAGGTTTTTACTTTTTTTTTGCTTAAAGTAAATTGCATACAATGTAAAGTTCAAAATGGTGGTGATTGGCGGTGGCCAACGGTGGCCGGCGGTGGCCAGAGGTTTGTTTAAAAGTATTTTGAGTGTTGAGTAAAAGAAATGCAGAAATTTCGAAAATTTTGGGAGGTTTATTGGATGTAAAAAATTCAAAAAAATTGTTGATGTATTTGAAATTCATTCTTTAGTTTATTTTGTATTCCAAAATGGTTCAAGTTGGATACTTTGCAAAAGCATTGAGTCACCGTCCCCACTTGTCACAATTGTCGACCACTATCAACCATCATTTGCCGCTGTTGGCCTCCATCAATGGCCGTCGTCACCACTTGGTACTGCTACATGCCTGGCTCTTGCTGCTGCTTCCATGCTTTGTATTTCTAAAATTCATGTATTTGAAATGCATTATAACCCAAAAAAATCATTGCATTTGATTCATATCCAACCAAACAACTTTTGCATTTCTAAAATACATTTTTTTATATTGTAATTAGATTTTCACAAATTTCAAATTATTTCAACCAAACCGCCCTAAAATAATTGTAGTATTACTCCGTTGTTCATGTTATGACAAGTTTGTGGATTATTTGTATTTGTGTTCCAACAGACGGACTCTTTAGTTGATGGGTGATTTTCTAGATATTTGCTCACATAATCAATAACTTCATTGAGATTTGCTGGTAGGAAGTCCGAATGCCTGCAGCTGGGCCAAAAGGAGGACAAAAGAACCCCAGTGAACTGAAAGATGATACATGTTCTTCGAGGGAGGAAAAACAGGTAATGGTAATCAGTTTATCTTATCTTTGAATTCATTATCTACTGGGCTAATAGGAATGACATGCAATGAGATGGATACCTTTTTTTTTTCCTAAGTTATGATATAAATTTTTAAACAAGAACTGCTGTTGTTAATTTGTCGTTCTACTATTTTATTAGTGGTGTTTTAAAATAATGTTATATATGAGAAATATAATCGTTTAACTTTTTTTGTGCATGAAATGCTAAATATAGCTCATTAAGATTTTCGATGCTGAAATGAACAGAATCGTTTTTCTTAATTGCTCAAAATGTTAATATACAGAATTTGCTGAAGCTATTAGTAGTTTGGATGCAGGATAAAGTAGCAGCATGCCTATAGGTTGTGAAACTGTTTAAATCGTATCAAAACTGTCGTGCTAAAGATTTTTTCTATTAATGGATTGGCACTGGTAGATTTGCTTTGGGTGGTGAAGTATGTCTTGATGACCTTAATTAAAAGTCTTTCATCTAATATTGAGGCCTTTTCTGTTCAACTCTTTTTTTGAGTTAGCAAATTTTTTTCTTTATTTTCGTATGTGAGCTGACACTCAGCAGGAAAATAAGCAGTTCATATATATTTTTCTCAATGCAGAGCTTGCAAATATGATGGTTGCTTTATAATTCACTGTTGAAAAAATTAATTTTGATTGTTATGTATTGTAATATCAATGCTCTCGATGAGATTTAACATAGATGTAGATCATAGAGTAATTAGAAATCTTTATTACAGATATTTTTGTAATTGGAGTGTATTGTTACAGCCAAGGAATGCTTTTATTGACACCAAAATATAAATACTTGTTCGGTGCAAGGCATGCATGTACTAGAAGAGTGGTGGCTGTTTTGTGTCATGAGATGCACCTGCACACAATGAGCCGAGGAAAATTAAGAGTCTCCCAAAGGGGGAGCGCCTCTAAGAAGCCTATATTGATCCGGGAGATATTTTGAAGAAATGTTCAGATAACATCATTTGAAAAGGAAGATTAACTAGGTGAAGACAATTCATTAATTGGGTGTCATGAGAGGGAGATCAATGAGCTAAAGCTAAACGATAGGATTGAAATCTTCATTTCAATAGGGTATTGATGAGTTTTGAATTTTAAACTTGTTTTTAGATAAGTTTGCTTTTTGAATTTTAAATTCTAGATTGGTTTCCTTCTTTTGTGGATTAATTTTTTAAGATAATAATTCTCCTAAATTCAGGAGTTAGTTTAAGAGAAGATAAAATCAAATGCACATTAAATGCTATTATATATTGCCTATTTGTTCTTGCCATTAGAAGAAATTTAAAACTCTCGTATACCTTTCTTTTGTCTATTGCCTCAACTTGGTACCAAAGTAGTTGCGACACTATTGTAATCCATATAGTCTAGTAGTAATAGCTATAGATGTGCACGACATTGTAGCAAATTTATTGTAGTAGCGAAAAAAATCTTGCTCGTTCCAAAGTTTCAGCCCATAGAAAAATTTGATGATAGCATTGAAGATCGAAAATGAGATAGGAGAATATACTTTGGACCATGAAGAGATAATTCAAGCACTAGTGAGTATTTTTTTTCATTTTTCATCAAGAACAAATTATTGATGTGAGATTGCAATGTTTTTCTTCGAATTTATGTTTGCAAGGAAAGCGCCGCCTTTATCTGCTTCACCACCTATTTAGATGGCAAGAGAATCATCCAACTACAGATATGGCGCACAAAAGGAGGTCTGTCAATGGGAGTAAGGTCAATTCTAAGCTAGGTACCATATGATGGGGCAATTGAAGCAAAGGCGATAATCAACTGTTTTGAATATCTTAAGGTTTATTTCATTATATATGATAATTCAGATAGAAAGAAGGTCACCTTTACTTGCTTAAGGTTGTTGTCACTTGCTTTAGTATGGTGGAGTCCATAAGCCAGGAGCATTATTTAAAATTGCATAATATGAGGCCCGCCTAGCACAATTCCAATGAAAAATGCCTCAAGGCTTACGCCTTAAGCTTTTTAATGAGGCTTGCACCTCAACTTGGCTAAGACTTTCCTTGAGATGCTGTTAGACCGGTTCAATGGACCGGTCCAGCCGGTCCACGCGGGACCGGCCCAGCTACACGAGGCGGAAGTTCCGCCTCCCGCACGCCCGCCGGGATCAAACAGGGTCGAATAGGAAGGTTTTTGAATGGATTTTAGGAGGGAAT